CTTAATTCAGAGGGAAAAAAAGAAAATTGCTCTGATATTGAGAGAAATTCACTTTCTCTGGTCACTTGAGATTTCAGGAGCAGCACCTTTTGCACTGCACACTCACTACTTGGCCAGCATATCCTGTGCTCTGCTGAACCTTTCACAACATATGGTCTGTCTTATGTGCCCACTCCTGCACCTCACAAAAGCAACTTTCTTCTCGATGCCTGATTTCCCTTCATTGCCACTTTGTTACCTTGAATTAAAATCCTTCAGTGTCATCTCAGCCCCCCACGCCCCTCCCACGCTTAGGTTTTAAACGTTGGCATAGCTCAGCATTGTCCCCATCCCACTGCTGCTCCACGGCACAGCCCCACTTGGCCCACCTCTTTAATTGCATTAATTAATTGAGAGGGAGGGCAGCTCCCCAGCAGCAGCTTCCCAGGAGGCGCAGGAGCTTCAGTTCAGTGTGCGAGGGCTGGAGCATGGCCGGAAAAAACAACCTGGTGTTTCTGACAGGAGAGGAGCATGGATGGCCAGTGCTACAGACTGTGCTCCTCCACACACCAACCCCGTGTGCTCCAGGACCCTAAAAGCCCCTGGAGCCCCCAGTGCTGCACAACAGCAAACACAGACACTGGACAGTAATGGGGGAGCAGTGCCAAAATTGGACAGAGACAGCAGACCTGCATGGCTTCCTCAGCTCCTCTCATTGCAGTGGCCTAAAGAGCCCGCAGGTATTTAATTTTAAATTCTTCAAGCAGCTACAAACAACTTTTCACTGGCAGAATCCAAAGCAGAGGGGTTGTTACTCTCTAGCAAAGGAAACTGAGAAAAACGTAAAGAAAAATGAGCACAATTTCACTCAGAGGTATTTTTTTCACACTCCCTGTGTGAAAGCTCACGGGGATCTTACAGACTGAAGCCTGCCCACAGCTTTGCTGCCCTGTAGCAACCCTGAATCCCACTGGATGTTACGGTGCTGCCTGTGAGCAGCGACTGCAGCCCAGCAAGACAGAGCCCACTGCCAGGCAAGACTGCAGCCTCCTGCTCATATTCCCGCCTGGATTTTCCCTGTTTGAAGCAACATGCCTGGCAAGACCAGCAGCGCTCATCACTGCCCAGGCGAGGCGAAGAGCCCAGAATGGCACTGCCTCGGCCACACACTGAGGGCAAACTGCCCGCTGAGTCCCCAGCATCCCTTCGTGCAACTTTCTGCTCCTTGCCTTTATTTTTTCAGATAGGATGATGTTTTAGGATTGTTTTGGTTTTTTTTAAAAGGAATATCTCTTATCCCACGCTCTCTTCCGAAGTATCTCCCTCCCAGCTGGCACTGCCTGGCAGAAGGAGAAGGGCTCGGTGTAGTTCCCTGCGAGGTTTTGCACCGATGACTCCTGGCAGGGCTGCATGTCCCTCCTGTTACATAACGACCTTTCCCGTTTGGTGCCGGCTCCTCTTGGGGTGACCACGTTTGGGAGTGGTCACATTTGGGGTGCTCACATGCCTCAGCTGTGCACTGCGAGGCACCATCCCCCCATCCCGAACAGACCCATCAACCCTGAACCACCCTCCTTTCTCCTTATGCCTCTCCCCTTGCTCCTGGATCTCTGCCCACCGGGCAGCACCCCACTTTCTCCTGCCCCCCAAACACGATACTCCTCCCCGGGCACTCCATCCCTCTTCCACACCCAGCCCCAAACCGCACCTTAGCCCTCCCCAGCACCCACAAGTGTCCCCCCAGCTCCTCTGGGCTGCACCCTGCAGCAGTGACCTGCCTCGGGTGCCTCCACCACCTCCCTGAGCCCCACTGAGCACCACCCTCACCCGCCTTCTCCCTGCTGCCCACACCCCACAGCCGCACCGCACCGTCTCTCCCCTCGGCTCGCACTCTGTGCTTACTCCTGTCTCACCCGTTCTCCTGCAGATGCCCCACAGACCCGCACCCCCCAGACACCCCTGCACCCACCACACCAGCACCCATCACCTCTCCGCCGCACCCCGGCACGGCTCAGCCCCGCACCCGATAGCGCGGCACCTCCCGCCCGCGTGTCCCCACACACCCGTGCCCCCACAGACACCCGCACCCTCCAGCCCTACGCACCTGTGCCCACAGCCCCCCGCGGCCGTGCCCCGCGCCCTCACAGCCACCCGCAACCCCGGAGCCCGCGCCCGACCCCGCGCCCCCCGCCGGTCCCCGCCCCGCGCTCTGACCTGGGCCCGGCGGCGGGCGGGAGCTGTCCGCCGCCGCCCGGTGCTGAAGGCGGCTTGGCGGCGGCGGCGGCGGGCGGCGGCGGGGCCCCTCCGGCGGCGGCGGCGGCGGGCGGCAGCTGCCCGTCGTCGCCGCCGCCCTCCAGGCTGGCCTCGTTGCCCATGTCGGGCCGGGCGGGACCGGGACCGGGGCCGCTCCCTCAGCGCAGCGCCGCCCCCGCCGCCGCCATCAGCCCCGCGCCGCCATCGCCGCCCGCCCGCGCCGCCCCGCGCATGCGCCGCCTCCGCGCCCGCTCGCGCCGCGGGCACGCGCGCGTTCGCCCGACCAATCGCCGCCAGCCCCCCGGGGCGCCGCCGGCACGTGCCCCTCGGCCCCGCCCCGCCCCGCCCGCCGGCCAATCGGCGCCGCGCAGCGCCAGCGCTCGCGCCCGCCAGGCGGCGCCACGCGAGCTCCCGCGCTGGCCGTCAATGAGCGGCCCGTCTACCGTGACGTCACAGTCCAGAGACCAATGGGCGCGCAGTTCCGCATGAGGTTACACCCAGCAGCCAATGAGCGCCCGCTCATCCATGAGGTCACGGGCTGCTGTAGGATGTCACACACCACTGACCAATGGGGTGTCCCTTCATCCATGAAGTCATGTGCTGCTCCTGGAAGTCACAGCATGACAACCAGTGAGCACCTGCCTCCTCCATGACGTCAGAGTTTGCCCCAGGACATCACACCACGTAAGCCGATAAGCACCTCCCCCATGATATTTAAGAACATCACACCCTGCCTGCCAATGAGGATCTTGCGCCATTGTGAGGTCATGCACTGCCTTGTGATGTCACACTCAGTGATGGTGCTGCTCCCTGCAGGTCACAGGTAGCGCCGCAATGTCACTGGCTACTGTCCAATGAGCACCCTGCTACCTCATGAGGTCAAGGCAGTCGCTGTCAGCCAGGCCATGAGCACACGCCTCACTGTGAGGTCACAGGCTTGCTGATGAGGCAATGGAGCCCCAGCCGATACCCACCCTATCCTTCCCACAATCACCCCGAGCCCAGCAGTGACCGCCACTGCTCTTCTGTGCCACCACAGTGCCGAGCCAACGGGCTCACGGTGTCCCCAAGCGCCAGTCTCAGCCAGCCCCGAGCAATGGTCACGCTGTGGCTGTGTGAGCTCAGAGCTGCCCGTGGCGTCAGAGAGCAGCGGTGCCTGTGGGAGCGCCCAGCCCCGCCCCGCCGTTAATGAGGGGCGCTAATTAACGGGGCCGGTGCCCGTGGGCGGAGGGACGCGCTGCCACCGCCGGTCCCCTGCTGCCACCCTGCGGCTCGGACCCCGCCTCGGGGGGACCCCAGCGGGGACAAAAAATTGCGCCCGGGAGCCCCAGCCCTGCCGGTAGCTTTTAAAAAGCGGCTGCTTTTTATGGGCTGTGAGTCAACACACACGCGCTAAATCCTAAAATAAACGCGAAACTGGGTCCAGCCTCACCTCGGAGCGCACGGAAATAGCAACCGGCTCCAATAAGCCCCAGGAACAAGGGAGCTCAGCCCCTTCCCCGCCCCTTCTGCATCCCCCAGCCCAGGGAAAGAGATGCTGGCGCTGGAGGTTACTGCTGTGACCTCCGAGGAGCAGGTGTGGGGTGTGAAAGGTGTAATATGGAATTAAAAGAGCTTTGGAAGACATGAGAGTACTGAGTAAGAGAACAAAACAACTTCAGTTCTGGCCAGGGGCAACAGATGTGCAGTAAACCAGAACAAAAACACATCAGAAACAGCCCAGCAGCAACAAGTCTATGGAAAGTAAGAGTGTAGGAGTGGATGAAAAGAGGCCAGGACTTAGCAGGTGGCCAGAAAACACACAAAAAGTTTGGTTTGTTTGGATTTTTTCCTGAGGTGATGTGTCCCCCAAACACAGGAGACTCAAAACATCCACCTTGAACACAGCAGAGGTTGGAGTAGCTGCCAGTAACAGCGCTGGTGCAGGTGGTGCCCAGACAAGGTGCTCAACCCTCAGATGAAACTTGCCATGATGTAAAAACAGCCCCAAAAACTCTTCTCAACCCCTCCACTGCAGACTGGCATTTGTTCTCCCGTTATGGGCAGACACAGCACCTGCTCTCCAGCACCCCAGCATAGAAGGCCATATCCTCCACCACTCCCAGCCCTTCACTGCTGCCTCCTTAAAATGGTCTTCCTGAACTGGAGAGATCCAGAGCAAGTCTTACATTCTACAGCCACTTGATACTTACCTCGAAGAGACAAGGACAGGACAGAGCAGGCTCTCTGCAGACCCTCTCCCAGGTTTCTCTGCTGCAGAATTCATTTTGCTTGATTAAGTCTCCCCTCTCTTTTCCCCAAGATTTTTTTCCCCCAGCCCTCTGACCCCTCTCCTGGCTCCTCCAAACTCTCCCCCCATTCCACTTAATTCTGCAGTCAGCCTCAGGTGATGCAGGTGAGACAACAGCTCATGCTCTGCAGGGCTTTGCCTTGTTCACTTCCCTGGGGATGGGCATCACTGTCTGCATGGCTTCACCCGACCACTGTCCGTCCCTGCACACGGGGCCTGTCTCCCAAGAGGTGGCACCCCACAGGAACCTGAAGGGTTCAGCATATCCATCACCCTACATTCAGCACCCAAGCTCAGACCTCCACCCTGAGGTGCAATAGGCTGGAATATGCTCAGAAGCCAGTTAAATCAACAAGTCTGCACAGTAATGTATTTTATTTCCTAAAAACATGTTTTTAGCCAGTCCAGGTACTACAGATTCAGCCAGAAGCAGATTCCAGATTCCAGCCTGAAGCAGCTGGAAATAGGAAATGTCAGATTTGTACAGTAGAGTGCTTTATTAGGTGCCTCACCACATCTGTTCCTTGCAGCTCTGACAGCCCTGCTTCAGGTGTGGAGCTCCTGTTCCAAGGCTGCAAGCTGAAGAACCCAGACAGGTTCAGCCCCTCCAGTCTCCCCCTCCCCTGAAGGGAGCCATTCTTCAGCACATCTCCAGGCCATTCCAAACCCTCTAATAATAAGGCAGAAGAGCTACAAAATAATAAAAATACTCTACACTCTTATTTAAAAATAGAAATTAATAAACAAGTTTCACACCAACACATGCCAAGCACAGAGGCCAGCACACTGATCTCTGCTTCCAAGTGGAGCACAGGGGGTCACCCCAATACTTTCCTTCCAAGTCAGTAGGTTCAGCCTGCAAGACCACTCTGGACAGGGCAGGGCAACACAGCTCTTAAGTCCACCTGTGGATCTCCCCAGCCCCAACAGGCCTGTGGGTGAGGGAAGGTGTTTAATTTGATGATGAATATACAGACACTTGACAGCCACACAGGTTGCTCAACACATTTCTTCCTCCAGTAAAATTTCTTGGACCTATTTACACCTGGCATGGAGCTGGTCCAGGTCCCTTCTCCCTCCTGCTCTCCAGACTGACATCCCAGACACCCTTCCTGCACCTCCTGCTTGTGGCTGCATCCAAGAAGTGCAGTGCCACCACGTGCCAGAGAGCCCAAAGCAGCAGCAACTGCAGAGCTCTGAGGTGGCCAGAAGGCAAAAGCCTGTTAATTCTGCATGAAAAAAGGAGGAAGGAATGGTAATATGAGGAGGGTAACTGTCCAGCTATTAGCCAGAGGCTTGGCCTCCAGAGGCCAATCCTGCTGCAAGGGCAGGATTCTCCACCACAGGGCAACATCAGTGCTTTGCAAACAGTACCCCAGGCAGTGGTGGCTGCACATTGCCTCGTGCCAGGCTCTGGACAAGTGTGTTCTGCCCTGCAGCTTCTTCCAAGTCTCTCCCAGGAAGTCAGGGGCTCTCACAGCAGGAAAGTGTCCATTCTGGCCTGGCTGCTGCTGGAGGAAAATGCAGAAGAAGCTGCAGATGCTGGTCTGGAGACCTTCTTCTTGCTCCTAACTGATAATGGACGGATTTCCGCCAGGTTTGTCTGGAAGTAAAACTGTCAAGGCAAGCACAGATCAGTGCCCTGGGAACACAAGCTATCCAACACCTGCTGCAGTCCAGCCTGAACCACAGACCTGGGACCCAGCCATGTATCTGCATCCAAGGAAAAACTCCCTGCAGGACAGGATGGGTTTTGCTACCTTCTCACAGAAGCAGAGCTCGGACACATGCCTGTCCCATGCGTCAGGGAACATTTCCCAAACAGGGGGTTTTGCCTGGATATTTGGAAACATCTCTTCTCTAAACAGGTGGTCAAGCACTGCAACAGGCTGCCCAGGCAAGTGGTGGAAGTCCCTGAATTGTTGGTTAGGGACATGGGTTAGTGGTGGGCTTGCTAATGCCAGGTTAATGGTTGGACTCTGATCTTAAGAGCTCTTCTCCAACATGAATGATTCCACAATTCTGTGCTATCCCCTTGCACACAAACCAGCATTTTAACACCCTATTTGAGTTGCAAGACCTCCTGAGCCACGACACTGTGCAGTTGAAGACAAAGCAGCCAGAGCCTGCAGTTTCTCATGGCAGAGCAATCCCAAGGCAGGAGCAGCTCCACAGCTGGGGGTGAGCTCAGCCCAGGCACTCCTCACCACAGTGGAGCAGTAGCATCCTGCAGGAATGAGGGCTCTGGCTGCACAGGCTGGCAGGCACACAGCCAGAAGAGGCTGTGCCACACTGCTGCTCTAAGATCTCAAGGGCACAGGCAGTCCCTGCAAATTGTACTGATTTCTAGCTGATGTGCTCCTCTGAGCCAGCCACAAGTGCTGTCAGAAAGTTCAGGTCCTTGACGCCTTTGCCGAGCTCAGATTTGTTCAGAGAGAAATCAGATCATTCCTTGAGGATCCCAAGACAATTTTTTTGTTGAGACCAAAGAGAAGGAACAGAAATGAGATGTCCACAGCATCAGTAGTGCCACATAAGCCACAGGAAAGGATACTGGCTCTATGAATTTTGTCCTGCCTCCCATGCCATCGTAGCCCGTCCTCACCTAGGAGAGAGAAACAAATTAGTCTGGAGCAGCACACAGAGCCTTGGCTACCTCTCCTCATGTTGGTTATGGGGAAGGGGGAGTCTTGCAGACCACAGCTTCTGGAGAGGGGTTAAAGGCACTTGGAAACAGTCACTTCTTGTGCTAACCCCTCACTTTCAGAAAAAGACAAACCCGTGGGTATTAACAAAGTTTGGGAATACTGGGCACTTTTTCAGACAAGCTGAGCCAGGCTTAGGATTTTGTCACTGGGATTGAGGAATACAAAAACACCCCAAGCTCCAAGGAGGTGGAGGAATAGGACATTGAGAGCCACTTAGTCTGCTGCCAGGAAGGGAATGAGCATCTGTCATCCCTGGAGCTCTGCAGGACTGGGACGTAGCCAGGTTGTGCTCTGAGATTTATTTTCCACACACTGTATGTGACAAGGTAAAAGCCTCATTTGCTTCCTCTTTCAGGGTCAGTTCAGGACAGAGGTGGCAGTGCCAGCCTTGGGCACACTCACCAACTGGACAGGCATACTCACAGAGCCCATGTTCTTGTGGGAACCCAGCAAACCACTCAAAGATGGCTTCTTGGAGAGAACAGAGTTCCTGATGAATGCTGGCAAGAGTCCTTTAAGAGCATCATCCTCCAGATCATCTGCCCCGTTCTGTCCCACAAAATAACAAGAAAAGCCCTTTAACCAGCACAGTTTGCTGAATGGAATCCACATACAGGCAGCACTAATAACAGAGACAGCTATTTAAGGTAATGGTTACTGCCATACCACATGTCAGGTTGAAAACCAGCACCTTCCAAACTCCCACTGAGGCTTATGTGGAACAGTACCCAGGAGGCAGGAGACTGCCCCCAGCAAGTCTGGGCAAGCAGCCACCTCAGCTGACCCCACAGCCCTTGTGGTCAGCTCCAGGTGGTGGTTGTGAAGCACATCTGGGGCAGAATCATCAGCAAGAAGCAGGTGGGTCCCCACCCTCCCTTCTCCTGCAGGAGGCCTGAGGTAGCAACCGTGTTTCTACTAGACCATCAAGGAAAACACTTTGAAGCACAGACTGGTTTTATAGAAGGCTGGTCTATGGCCACAAGGGAGAAAATAGATTCTTTATCCCAAGCTTATTAACATCAGAATCAAAGAGGCGACACAGAATAATCGAGATTAGTCCTTTTACCTCCACGGTTTCCTTCAGAACTTTCTTCGCCAGATTTACCACAGGAGGCCTGTAAGGAGCCCAAGGAGCAAATCAGCAGAGATTTATTGTTCAAGTGGAGCTGGCAAGGACAGACAAGGCCAAGCAAATGACGACAAAGCTTGCAGCACGCCATCAGGCAGCTGGAGAGCTATCTGATCTCACACAGCAACTTCCAAAGCAGGGAGACTTTGATCTCCTTTAGAAGCAGAAAGAGAAGGGAAAACTCACGACTTTTTATCCAGCTTCTGCCTTTTTGTAGGGCCGAAGGGAGCTGTGCAGGGCTGGTGCTCAGGGGTGTCCACATCGTAAGTAGCATCTAGATTGATCTCATCGCTGTGGGCTGGGCGGTGGAGCTTTGGATGCTGCAGATCCACAGGAGTAGGACTGCAAGGCCAGGAAAAACATCAATCACTGAGCCACTGCCTGCCACCCAGGGGAAGGCAGAGCTGCACCCCACAACACTGAGTGCTCAGACAGCAGTGGCACCAGGAGCAGAGCCCCATTCTGCTCACACATCAAAGAAAGGACAATCTGAACCCCAGAGTTTAAATTCAACGTCCCAAATTACTGCTCCCCCTCAAATGCTGAGCGCTGTAACAGCAGGACCCAGAGCCTAGGAAATCACACTGACACACTGCTGCTCTGTGGACACAACCCAGCTTGCTCTGCTGGGGTAATGGCATAAGCTCCTCAAGAAAGGCTGGATAAAAGCAGATGTCATTTTTCAGGCTAGATTCCTCTGTCTAGCTAAGATCTTTGGTCCCCACACACCAGTGCACACTCATCACAAGGCCAACTCTAAAGCAATGAGAAGAGCAGCTTTAGGGATGTTTCCCAGGCAGGACACAGTGACAAAGACTTTGTCAAAACTCAAGCCATTCCTCCACACCTCTTGACCCAAACCCTCCAAGACTTTTTCCATGTAAACCAAAATCATCTCATCAACCACAAGAAAAAGGATATAAAGAACAAAACTGCCATCTGCAACACCTGCCAGACTAGTACATCTCTGCTTTCTCAGATAGTTAAACAGTCAGCTCTGGCTTTGAACCTGTCATCTCCATGCCTGCATTGTGTCTAAGGATGCAGCTCACTAACCTTTCAAAGACTAGCCGACTGAGTGTTTCCCTGGTTACAGATGGGACCTTCAGAGTATCCTGCAGGATGTCTATCTTCTTCTTCAAACTCTAGAGAGAAAAGGGAAAGCAGACAGTGTAACAGGGAAAAAATTAGCAGTAGATACTTTGTCCTTTTTCCATAAATCAGCATCAGGTGGAACTCAGAGGTAGGCTGGGAAATTTAGTCACTGAGCAAAAGCCAGCAGAACTCCTGGCTTTGCAGCTGCAGACCAGTCTGCAGTAACTGGCAGCTGGCCATGAGAAATGCTAGTCTCACCAAGATCTCCTTGTCTGCATTCTTCATATCTTTCTGTGTGCTTTTTAACTCCTCCTTTGTCTTCTCCAACTCTGAAGTCGTCTTCTGCAGCTGCAGAACACAACAGAGTGTGGGTTACACTTAGCTGGGTAAGGGGGACTGCAGAGCCCTGTGAGAGCAGTGTGCTCTGCACCACATTCTACTTCCCCTGTTTAAGGGCTCAATTTTCCTGTGTCAGTCTGACCAATCTCTCCTGTACCAGTGCAATCCAATCCTTACCCAATTCCACAAGCCGCCTGCAGAGGGATGTCCAGGGCTGCTTGCCCAGCATTTACTCAGCATTCATGCCTGATGGCAACAGTTTTTCCCTGCTCTAACACTTGGTGGCTGCATTCTGAATTCCTGCAGGTCTTTGGACACACCAGAGCACAGGAATCACAAACCACAGGCTGGAGGATGGCTGTGCATCAGCAGTGCTGGCACATGGACAAGCCTGATTCAACAGGGAAGCATGCCAGCAGCAGGGGTCAGGAAGTGGACTGCTACCACTTCACACACTTCAGTGGGTCCGGGAGCCTGGGCCAGCTCATGGACTGTGGGTACAGTCAGCTCTCTGTCAGCCAAGCCTGGAGCCCCTTGTGCACTGACTCGCACCCTCCTGACCCACACTGGCCATCACAGCTTGGGTCTGACTCAGCCAGGAGCAACTCCAACATCAGTCCAACTCCAGCATCAGAACCTTGTGTAGGGGTTAACTCCTCTGGGGAGCACAGCACAGCAATCTGAAAACCTCCTTCTCCATGTGAGGGGACAACAGCTATGGCTGAGTAACAGAAGTATGCCAAATCCACCCACAGCTTCTCACTTTGTTGGCTTAGACATGGGGATGCCCCAGGGAACACCTGCGTCTTGGGATATGAGGCTACACACATGCTTTTCACAGGGATGTGCTACCAGAACAAAGACAGTCCAGTCTGACCTGAGCTAACAGAACCCAGCCAGGCCTGGAACAGGGGAGTACAGCAGCAGAAGCACATCAACATCCCCAAACTCCACACCAGCTCAGGACCAGCCCTGGCAGACTCTGTGCAGGGCCACCTGTGTGTCCTCACTGTGCTTTGGGAAGCTCTCCTGCCTGGGCACAGCATAATGTGGGAGCCCTGGCCCAGTTCAGTTGGCTGAAGGCACAAGGCTGGGTGTGACTGGATTTGCCAAACCAGGACTAAGCCCTGCTCAACTGACACTGGCTCCAAACCTCTTCCCACTTCCTGTGGTGCTCAGTTCTGCAGCAGGAGGAGCTGGCAGCTGAGTGCTCAGCAGTGGAGCCGGATGAAGGAATTGCCACTTCCAGAACCCAGTGGGAGCAGTGGAGCACCTGTGAGCTACTGCTTTCCAGCACAGGCTCCCTGCCAGACTCTGGCTGGCACATGCTGCCCCAGCACTGTCCCCAGAGACTGTCCTCCTGACAACAGCCCACGAGCTGCTTGCTCCCCACATCACATCCTGACCCAGAAACCCCAGCCTGACCCTTCCACATACCTGTACCTAACAGCATGGGAGGGGGTCACTGCACAGGCCTGGGCCTTGCTTACGGACAGGGATCTACAGACCAGATGTCACCCTGGCATCTCACACTCTCCCTTTACCTTACTATTGACAGAAAACAGCTCCTTCTTCAGCTTCTCTGTCATCTCACCAGAGATCTTCCGAGCCTCCTTCAAGTTCTCATATTCCCTGTGAAGAGACACAAAGAGTCACACAGTTTGTAAGACAGCTGAGCCAGAGCTTCTCAGAGACAAGCCAAGACCCTTAAATTGCAGCTCTGGACCTGCAGAGCCACCAGAGAAAACCCAGGAGACACAATAATGAGTGAGTATACCAACACTGTGTCATGCATTCCACTACACCATGGGGGACAAAAAACCTGCATGAGGTACCATGCCTGATTCCAGCAGCAAAATGGGAACCAGACCCAGAGACATTTCAGTTGCCAGTGAAAAAGATAGAAAACAGAGCACAGTCTCCATGCTGGCAGCAAACAGGGGACTTTGCTTTAAGTGACTTTTCAGAGACTTCACACTACTGGCCATGCACATTCACTCCCAATTACACCACAGGGACACTTGCCTCATTACAGCTTTGTACCAAAGCTGCAGTTATTCAGCTGCCATCAAAATAGACACAAAAAAAGCTGTGTTTTTTCCCCAGCAGGACCAGATGGATATCCAGGTAGGGGAGGGCAGCAGTGCAGGCTTGCTTTGCCAGAGGCCACAGCTGCACAGTGCAGTGCTGTAAAGGGCGCAACCCAGAGCTCTGCATCCACTTGCTTTCCCTTGGGCATGAGAGGAAAGCAGAGGGAATAATCATCATCACTTCATAGGTGCACTGACAACTCTGGAGACAGTTCCCATGGTGACACACATGTCACTACAGTGACAAGAGGAACAGTTCAGTGTGACAGGCTCCAAACTAGGTCCCCAGGATCTGTCAGTCAAAATCCATGGAAGCCCTAAGAGGCAATGAGAGCCCCGCAGAGCCCTTGTGCCTGTTGATGCTCAGCAGAGGGTTCTCCCTGGGCACCCCAGGACAGCACCAGCCAGCTCTGCCAAGCCTGCAGCACCTACTTTTTGAGGGAGACACAGTAGATTGCAAGCTGCTCCACTGCTGCCTGTCCAACTCCCATCTCTCTGATCATCTCCTCCACTTCTGGGCGCTGGCTCTGAAGCAACAGCTCGATCCTGCACAAAAAAACCCCACAAACAAAAACATACCCTCAGCTCATGAATCACAAACAGACCTGGGAAAGAGACAGAGGCCCTGCTTCCCCCTCAAGGGGCTGGTGCAGCCTGAGCTTTTCCTTCAGGCACTCTGAGTGTCATGGGAGAAGAGATACAGCTGCCTCACCTCAAGAAGGGCTTTTCACTGGGGAAAAGCAGCACTACTTGGACTAGAGAAGAGGCAGCTGTACACACATGCTGCACATGGAACTGATGCCCAGCTCTTGGTCCCTAAAGCCCTGTGGCTGACTGTGTTCCTGGGCTGGCATTTTACCCCAGCATCCTCTGATAACAGAAATGGCACATAGCCATGCTCAGTGCACTAGAGATGAGGCCGGTACCCTGCCTTACTGCTCTTTAATGAGAGCAGCTGTCTGCAAACATAGCAGGGGCAAGAGGCACACAAGGGCAGCTAAAGCAGCTGTTTTGAACCTTACAGGAAGGTGATCCAGCACACAGAGGTGGGTGTTGCAGCAGGAGACCCTCCTGCCCTCCCCAAAAAGGGCAGAGGTGCAGCCCAGCTTGCAAGGCCCAGGGAGCACCCCAGATCTCACCGCTCCATGGTTCTCAGCTTCTTTCGCAGTCGACAGGCCTCCTCCTTTGAACTTCTGTTGTCCTCCTGCTGCTGCTCCAGGAATTTCATCTGCTTCTGCAGGGAAACAAGCACACACAGCCCGTTAGTAAGGCTCCAGGGATTGTTGGAGAAACATCCCAGCTTATACGCACTGCAGGCAGCTGGGAGCATACATTGGCTTTAAATGCTATCACCACCTCAGCAGCCCAGGATTATGGAGAGTTGAGCTCCCTCCCACCGTACCCCCAGCTCTGCTCCCCATGAGCACAGCAGGGTCTCAGTACTAATCACAGGGTGAGTCTGGAGCTGAAGCCATGTCATAGCCCATCTCTGCTGGGAGCACTGGAGGGGCTGCACAGTGCCCTGGATGCACTGGTGACAATTTGTTTTTCCAGAGCAAAGGAGTCCACAGCAAATAAACCTTGCTATTGCCTTCCCTTCCATGCACAGCTGATTGCTTCAGCCTCCCAACTCTCCTTGCCATTGGCTGCTTAGAGCATAGATAGGAATGAGTGGGTCTCTTCTGGGAAACCTCAGACAAACCCACCCGGGCACTTCTCTCACCTGCTGCAAGCCTATTGCCTCTCCAGCAGTAACACAGAGCCTCAGCTGAGCTGGGAAAGCACACATCTGCAGTGTGGCAGAGGATGGGGATAGTTGAATTAGCACCATTCTGATGCATATGTGCTGTCTAGGTTTGTGTGTGCCTGGGTGCCTTGCACAGCAGCTTTGAAAGGCTCTGGTTTCAGCACAGTGCTGATTCTGGGGAAAGGCCTGGCAAAAGATCATTGCCTTGTAAAGCTTCTTCCCACACAAGTTCAAGGATTTTATCCACTTCCTGCCACAGAAACCAAACAGCTGTGAAACCACTGGGAAGTTGAGGAGGGACAGTGTTGTAGGCTCATATGTCACTCTTGTTTAACTGAAGCCTGTCTTTGGCTTTTCCCTAACCAGAACTCTCAACACTTCAGATTCCCACGGCAGTGTTTGCCCCTGGTCAGAGCAGAGTCCCCAGCATCAACCAGCCTGAAACTGCAGCAAACTGACAGTGCCAGCAGAAGATAGGACCAGCTTGCAGCCTTAACCTGCATCACAGTAAGTTAGCCTGTATTTTCACTGCAGAAGTTTATTGCTTTAACCTTTAACCTTTAATGATGCAGTTTAAGACAGTGCTCGGCATTCAGCTGGGAAACCCCACGTGCCACAGAAAAGATACCTCCAGGTCCCTAATCCTTTTGCCCTGCCCAGCTTTCATTAAAGGAACTCAAGCATACAGAGAGGGTTTTGCAACAGGAAAGATAAGAACTTCCTCCATAGGTGTCAAGGCAGGAAACCCAAACACTGAGATGCTGAGTTGAGCATCAAGAAGTACCAGCTTCCACTGTCACAATTATTTCTGCTGGAGTAGGGGGCATCAGAAGTACCCTGCCACTGGGGTGTAGTGAAGTACCATTCAGGGTCACACCAGCATCTATAGCATGGCCAAGATCCAGGCTGCCTTTACATGCAAACAGATTGGATATGATCCCGTTTGGGCAAAAACAGTTGTGCTGGCTCACAGCAAGACCTGCCTGGCATTAATTCCTTACTCTTTCTGACCTAGTGTCAGGTAGATCTCCCAGATGCTTCCTCCCAAAAGAGCCCAGCTGCAAGTGGCATATCACAAGACAGCACCATGATGTGTATACAAGCTCCTTTTGGGCCACTTGGCTTTGCAGGTCAAGAAACACAATGCAGTTCAGGATACTGGGTCAGACAGCTTGGGAAGTGCAGTAGACACCTACTCCACTTTTCAGCCTGCAGCTCACAACCCCACCTGCTTGCACCTCACCTTCTTGAGACAGGCATATCACCTTCACACAGCACAGACTGCCCAGCCCATCCCCAAGGCAAAGCCACTCCAAGACATCCCAACAAAGCTGCTCCTGCTCTAGCCCTCTTCCTCTTGCTGTTTACGCATAGTACATGACTACACACTGAGTCACTGCACACTGAAGCACAATGGGAATATTTGATCCCTGGACTTCACAACATTACTAACCTAACTGAGGCAAAGCCCTGGCAACAGAACAGAGACAGGAGAGTTAGCTGGATCAGATCCCACTCAGCTGAAGCCTGCAACTCCCCCTCCATATTTTTCAGTTTGATTTCTCTCCCAATCAAAGTAAGAAACTAATTTTCCTTGAATCCCTCTTGGTCTAAACCCATTTCAGAAGAACATTCTACCTCAGGGAACCAGTGTTTCAGCAACGGGGTGCTGGGGCTAGTTCCCACACTTAATTCCTGCTACCACCTTTATGACCAGCACTGCCACTTCATTAGCGAGGCTCAGCCACATTCCTCAGGCTGGGCTGGCATTTCTCCCTCACCAGGGATACCTCTGCCTTGAGCACCTGTACACAAACCACAGGCCTGTAGGCTTTTTATGCCTCTGAATCACCTCAGGCAGAGCATAAACATGACCTCAAGTCCAGCAACAGCACTTGCTTCGATTAATCAAACCAAAATGAAAACCCAGCCACCAGACCCAAAATCCCGCCAGCACCATCTCTTTATTAGCAGGATCTGCAGAGATCTTCAACAGAACTAACACTGACTGCATGATGGTTAGTCCTGCTGGGGACAGGAAGGGTACCTTGAGAGAGGAGCACAGCATCTCTGTCTCTCCCAGCATCTTCTGGAGCGACTCTATCGTGGCATTGCGCACATCCAGAGTGTCCCTCAGGCTGTCCACAACAGCCTGGCATTCCCGCTTTTCTTTCTCTGGAAAAGAAGAAAGAAAAAGGTCATGGCCTGATAACCCAGACTCCAGCTGCAGCACAGCAGCAGGAGCCCATAGACTGCTTTGCAGGCTCAGCTCAGCTCCAGGATTTGGCCATTCCTGGAGAGAGCCATTTCTCTAAGTGCCGTCTGCACCAGGGTCTGTACCGAGCAATTGCTTCTCTCAGTGCCAGCAGGCTTCAAGATTTCTTTACGAAAGATAAAAAATTGCCTTTAATAGCTTTCTAGTGCCAGCCCTGATAGCATTAAGATGATGTATCTTAACTCTTGTGTTTTCACAAAGCCAGGCTTGCACAAGGAAATAATTCCTCTCGAGTTACACCAAAAGCTGTCATAGAGCTGGAAAACAGAGCTTTGTATCCATCCTCTCCACATGGAATCTTATGTGTTAGGAACGCCTCTGGGGGCCATTGGGCAGCTGTATGCAGGGGTCCACCAAGCTGCTGTGCATGCCCTAGCCAACCACAACATCTACATCAAAGGGCAGGAGGCAGTGACACTGGGGACACTACAGGATACATGACAGTTTAAGTAGATTCCCCAAGTACCCACTTTTTGCAGGTCACAAAACCTTTGCATCTTGCTGTCCCTCCCTCTGGCAATCCAGGAGCAAAGCACATGCCTCTGACCACCAGAGAGAAGGTGGTGGAAAACACCACCAGATTTCAATTTGTTTTCTGGAGACAAGGGAAGGACAGCTCAGAAAGCAACAACCACCATCAGAAGCTGCCAGACCTACATAGGGAATAGCCAGCATTGCTGAGAAGCTCAAAGCAGTTGCATAATGAGAGATAGCAGGAACCCTTCCACCTAACCCTGCTGAGAGCAGGGTAAAATCTCCAGCTCAGCATCTTCAGTCTTTGCTAAAATTGCCTGTGGTTCCAGCCTGGCAATAGTAGAGAGCCAAAGCGTGCCTTTCCAAAAAGCTTCTCCTTGCAAGCCATCCAGTTTCAAATTCTGCCTCCACATCCTGTGGCAGCATAACCTGCAGTGAAGCTTCACTGTTTAATCAGGGAGTAAAAGAGCCATGTGGGACCGAGAACAAGAGAGGAATGTGTTCCAGCAGAAGCACGCGGGTGGCTTCTCCATTGATCTGAATAACCCTTTCCCACCAGAAGCAGTGCCTGGAGACGTTCCCTTGCACTTGCAGGAACTCCACACCCACCAAAAGAGTTAGGGCTTCCCCCTCCTCCATTCCCAGCTGCCCAGAGGCAGATGGCAGGAATCAATCTCCTCCGTGCTGCAGGAATGAGTTTTCAGCTCATTGAGAGTGCCTCCCACAGAGCCTGCTGGGTCTGCTCAGAGCTCGGCACCTCTCAAGCCATTTGCAGGCTGATCAGAGCCTGGCAGCTCCACAGCTCTGCAGCGCACAGAGCAGAGCACAGCTTCACACGGAGAACTTATACACAAGAACCAGCAGAGAGCAGAGTACCCACAGCAAAGGAGGCAGGAGGTAGGAAGGAGCTTCGCATTTCCAACACAAAAAGAGAATGGGACAGGGAATGTCAAATCCAACCTCTACTCACCAGAAGCTGAGAAGATTAGCAGGCCTTCAAGCAGTTTTTCTTGGATAATATCCTAGCAAGAATCCCAGCCACCTTCCCCAGAAGATCTGGCTCTCTACCAAGTCACTAAACTCAACCAAGCTGGCAGGAGAACAGGCCTCAGAATAGAGACGTGCAGACCATCCAATTCTGCTCCCAGGCTAAGGACCGAATCCTCAATCTACTGGCTATTCATGTCTGTCTCGTGCATGCAGGGAACGCAGAGGAAAGACAACTCTTGGGGCGTGGGTGAGCCCCCAGCATTCTTTAAACATTTTTTTTTCCCCTTCTGCTAGCATGTTTTAGGATTTCTGTCACTTAGACTGACATTTTCCTTTTGCTGCTCATGACTCATGTTCTGATGACAGGCTGCCTACAGACGATGCTTAAAACCCATCGACAAGTCTCCAGGGCTTTTGCTTTTCCTGCCTCCCTCAAACATCCTCTAAAATTAAAGCTGGGAAGATGGAAGCGCGCGCACTGAACTCCGTCTGCTCTTCGCGCGACACATGTGGCACTGCAACAGCCAAACAAATCCAAAGCCTTCCCACTGCTGCTTTTGGACACCACTTTCACCCTCTCATCTGTTGGAGGGAACGAGCCTTTGCCATATGCAGCTGTGAGTTTCCCAGCTAGCAAAACAAGGGTTTTGCTTTCAAGCCTGCTCTGGATAGAGCTTTGCTGCAATTCTGTGAGCTTGTGATTATGAAGAGGGCAAAAAAAATTGCATTTATTTGTCTAAACTCACAGTGAACTCCTGAGTTACAGCAGAGCTGGGCCAGGCTGTGGACTCAGGCTCTGCCATAGAAGCTTTGCATCACCACAGGTGTTCTCGCCTCAGAAAAAGCTCTGAAGAAATTGCTCTAGTGAAACAGTTTTCCCTCGGCTCCAGAGAGGGGTGGCCTCTGCACAGGGGTTCCTCAGACCTGGGCACAGGTAGAGCCCAGGAGCTGCTGATCCCCTGCAGGCAGCAGGAACTCACCTTTCAAGGAGAGCTGGGCCTTCACCTTGTCCAGTTCATTCTGAAACACAACACAGAGAACCCCATTAGGAAACGCCCTGTGGAGATGCTTTCACCAGATCTTAAAAAGACCTAAGAGGTTTCTCAGCAGGACTTTTGGACCAGACAGGTACTAAGGAGGCAACATGGAAACAACAAGCACGGAGTTACAAGCCCGGACTATCACAGGGAACAGAAAGAGCACCTCCAACTGGCATTCTTCAGGGGGAGAAGAGAGGATCACAGCTTCATCTTAGCCTTGTCAACCTTGTGTTTCTCACACTGTCAGTCATCTTGTTTTAGCTGAATAATTTTGGAAGGCTCTCAGGGAAACACAGGAAGTCAGGCAAGAACAATTTTTACAATGTTTTACCTAAACAAGGCAATAAGGGAGGAATGTTGCCAGACTAACTGGATTACTGAGAGTTCTTTAAACTGAAGTGAACTTTAATCAGATGCAGGTAGGAGACAGGAGGACACATCCAAGCACCTGAAAAGGTAACCAAGCACACACTCAAATATGCTGACAGACACTGAAGTCACTGCAGTTAGGGATGCTGATAGAAGCTAAGAGTTCAATCGAATGGCTGGAAACAGATCACTGAAAAACCAATCCATAACACACCAATTTGAGAGTGCACAACATCTCCTGGGTACCCCAAGGGTCTGAAGAAAACCAAGTATTTCTAACACCTTCATCAAGGATCAGAAAGAGGCAGCAAATGCCCTGTAGTTTAAATTAGAGAAAATGAAGTGATATAACTTAACACTGGCGAATAGCCAAAGGAAATGTAGAGAGGTTAAAAAGGGAGGCTATTTATATCTATATGTATATTTAAAATAAAAACCAGAGAGATAAATATATGCAGGAAAGAGTCAACAGAAGATGACTTAAAAAGCTGTGTTAGAGAACTGCAGAGGAAAGCACATAACAAGTCAGGCAGGAACTGCAGTGGAATAAAACCACAATAAAATGCCAAGACAGGCACACAAATCTGTTAAACCCAGAATGCTACATGCAAATCTGAGCTGAGAATAGCACCAGCAGTGACCACAGCTCCGACGGGACCGGCGCTAGGCTCTGCTAGTGACAATAAAGGCAGGAAAGGGAACGTGGGATGCAAAGCTTGGTAAGTGGAAGGGACTAAATGCAAAGCCTAGCAGAGCTGACTGGGATTTGCCCCAAGGGGCACAACTGCTGGAGGGCTAATGTGGAATTAACTCTGCTGCAGGAACTATTCTGAAGTAGTTTCCTCAGAGTCCTATTCAGGAACTATTAGTGAGCTCACAAGATGCACTAATTATCATGATAGCAAAGAAACCCTGGGCTACTTCAGGCAGCTATGTAACATTACTTCATTCATCAACTTAATCTGAAATCCCTCATCCTCCACACCACAGCTCCTAAAAGCTGCTCCCAATTTTCTCTCCTCAGAGATCTCCTCTCTCTGCCAGGCTGAGTTACAAGACCACATTTTCCCAAGATCAAACAAATATATCCACAGACAGCTGTCCTCCAAGGCTTCTACCTTCCCCAGCAGGTTTATAGGCAGGAATCCTCCCCCCACCTCCTCTTCACCACACTGAAATCTCATTTGGAAGAACTCTGCATTCCTCAGATCACAAGCAGCTCTTGACAGACTCATTGAGGTGTTACACCCCAAAACTCACCCTTTTCCTGCTCTGGGAACAGCCACATGGAGACTGTTCTGCTCACAAGGACCATCTTTAAATTAAATATAGGCTAAACTCAGGTTCAGTAATGAAAGAAACACTTGGACATTAAATGGTCTGCAGCTGCTTCAGGGATCCAGGTTCCCTCTGGTGTTTCTATGAAGTTTTAGCCTGGGGGTGGAAAGCAAAGCAGCCCCAGCACTCCTTTGACTGTAAACATTTCAGAGTAACAGCAAGAGTGAGGAACATTAACAAAGACAATTACTGTTCAAGAGATAATTTGGCTAATTCTGCAACAACAGGAAGGGGTTTCAGATCATGAGGGAGCTCTTCTGACCACTTCACTGGGTGCCAAAGACCGGTTCTCAGAAGAGAATCCCAAGCTTGTCTCCCCAAGATGACAAGCAGACCACAGCTACACACTTTGCTTTCCAGCACATCCTTTTTGTGGCAGGAGGCCAAATGCTCATTCCAAGACAGCTGTGGCCTGCATAGCTCCAGTTGATTACAGAGATGAACACCACTCTATGTCCAGGCTTTTGGAGGGCCAGGCAGTGGTTCATCACAAACCTTGGAAATTTTTTTTTATTTTTCAGGTGAAGTTGCTTCTGGCTGAGGATGCCAGAAATTCTTCTCTCATATACTCTGAAGAGCCCAGGCTTGGCATACTATGTGTTTGCTTTGAACTGCTGCCTGACCAGAGTCACACATGCCATCACACACAGATGATGTGTGTGTCCTCACATCTAGGTGGACATTAGTCCCTCACCCACTGTGAGCAAGGCATCTGTGTTATTATGGCACAAAACTGTCCTCCAAGAATGAGGCAGCACACATGAAACTGGTGGCAAATGCAGCAGCAACCTGTACAGTGCACACAGCAGTGAATACCCACACAAGCTAATGAAGCTGGTTTACTCAGAAAAGTACTTGGTTCTTTCTGCTGGTGACCTCAGAGCCCTCATTAAGCAGGCTGTACACTGAGGCTAGATGTTGCTCTGACAGACACACACAAGGTTTAAGGAGCAGGAGGAGTTACCATTAAGCTTGTTATGCAGGAGCAGCTCCACACTCCTGCCCTTAAGCAAGGGAGCAGTTCTGCACAGCCTGCCTGGAGCAGAAGGCTGGGGAAACCCATTTTGGATCCTGGGGTGGGGGTGAGAAAGAACAGGAAGATTTTCCAGGGCAACTCTCTCCACACAACCCATTTCCAAGTCACTCATCTCATTGCACTCCTGAGAATGGATCTCAATATGTACAAAAGGAAATGTTTATCTACTGTGAGGGCACGCGGCTCCCAGTGCCCAGAGACGCTCCTCCATTCCTCAGCACACTTTGGCCTTCAGTTTTGTTACTGGAGGTCTTGGAGAAAGAGAGTGCTACTGACATTCTAGTCTGGCTGGCTTTATTTTAAAGACATACAAAGTACATATAGAATTGTCATGGCAACTGCTAATTATGGTAATTGCTGCACATGCTGCTTTTAAACACAAGAGGGTACAAGCATCCCGTTATACCAAGGTCAACCGGCCACCCTTTTTTTGGAACAGATAATTCCAAGACAGAAGGAGACCTGTTTCATTCACTACACAAAGGAGAACATGGAACAGCCACTCTGTGTTTATCCCTATTCTTTATTTCCCTATTTAACCCAATTCTCTGCACCTAAAGGTGGCGCTTGGACCACACCACCCAGCATCCCAGCTCCAGCCAGGATCCAGCCTCCATGTTGTTCACTGCTCCTGGTGTGGCTTCAGGCAGTCCCTTTCCTAACCTCCCTTGGGGAATAATGACTTTATCATCACCCTGCCCCATATCCTTCAATCTGCACAAACAACCTCCCTGCACAGAAGGGAGGAGGAGGAGGCACTTCCTCCAATGGTCCCTTCTTTCCAGAGGGGTTCACAATCAGCAATTCGCTGCATCTGGGATTTCCCTTCTCCTGCCTTTGGGAACAGCTCTGTTCCCAAAGAATGGGAATGTTCCCTTATTCCCAAGGGAGGAACAGCAGTCCAATGTGATGGTGTTTCAGGAGGTTTCCAGGTAAAGTGAGAAGCAGAAGGAGGAGCAGGAAGCAGAGAAGGCTCCTTGCGTCACCACATGGGATTTGGTCGGGGGAATGCTAAATCACCACAAAGAGTGATATGCTTCAGGTCAGAAACACGAGCACAGCAAGTTCCAGCTTGGGAAAGCACCTGCTGGCAGAGGATCAGCAGGCCAGGCCACCCTTCCAGGAGGCTGAAGCATCACATGAGGAAAGAACCCGCCTGTCAAATTACCTGCAAGGTCTCAGCATCCGGTACTGCTTGCTCCTCCAGGGTAACATCAAAAAACAGCTTATTGATGATGTGTCTTTTGCTGACCTAAACACAGGAGACAGAAGAGTTTGACGGGCACAAATACGGAAACAACGGATATGGAAGACAGATGGAGGGGGAGAAGGTACTGTCTTGTGACAAGGCCATGAAAGGCAAATCAGATCACGTGTTTGACACCATTAGTGGTGATGCTCTGCTTTGGTTCAACAGCACAGCAGCAGACCCCCCCACTCAGTTTCTGGGAGCGTGACTCCAGCCAAGCTCCTGAGCCACAGCAGAAAGATTCAGACATTTCTGAATCGAGCGCAGTCTGTTCTCTGGCAGCTCAGCCCCAAGCAGCTGATGCTGAGCTAACATGATGCCAAATCCTAAGACAGAAGTACGTGCTGCTTTCTGCAGGCAGAAGGTGCTGTAATTGAATTTGATAGCTCTCCACACCTCCCCCATGCAGTTACAGCTTTGTGTTTTAAGTATTATATACAGTCATGACACCAGCTAATTGCATGGTTACTGCCACATAAGATGTTATTTCGCGATAACTCCATGGTAACCCAGAGATGTAAGAGGCAGAGAAGAACAGAGGGAATCAACAAGTCAGGGAAGGAACAAGGGCCAGGACCTTGAGAGGAGGAAAGAAGCACGAACACAGAATAAGCCCAAGCAGCAGCTGGCTAAAAATTTACATCTGAGAGCGAGGAAACATCTCCTGCAACCACTATGTGCCAAGACCTACTGGCGGCATGAAGGCTGGTAACACAAGGGACTTCAAAGATGTTCAGGTCCCATTTAAGCCAATGGAAACCCAAGCCTCAGCTTCCTATCTCAGAAGCAGAGCACACCCTTCCTTCTCTCTCCAGCCATCGCTTTTCTCAAGGGAGGGTCAAGTACTGCTAAGCCAGGAGGGGTTGTAAGGCCCACGTGCAGCAGAATGGGCTGTTCACCTGACAGCAGTGGGCTGGGCATGCCAGAAACATCAGTCAGGTGTCCTCATTAAGCCCTTGCAGCCCCTGCTGTCATCATGCCAATACTTACCCAGCCTAAGCAAAAGCTGTGAAAACCCAGAGTCCCTTTGGAAAGGAGCTGCAGTGCAGAGAGTGGCAGGCCACCCTCAGCTCACTGCAACCAGAAGGGCTGTGGAGGATAGCTCATCCTCTCAGCCTCTGGGGAGTCCCAAATGACAAAACGTCCCTCTGCTCTTTACCATGATCCTTCTGGCATCATCCCAGGCTACAGCTCCTTGGTGCCACTGCAGGGCACCGTGCCACAGGTGTGCACGGGGGATGGCTTTACCTGGTTTCTGCACTGCGGGCATGTCCGGCTTGGTGCAGTGTCAAACCACTGGAAGAGGCTGAGAAAGAAAAGGAAAACATATAGTTAATCCATAAAGTCCTGGAGCATTGCTTCCAGGGGCCATCCCCCAGCTCCCCAGGAGACAGCAGGATGTGACTCCTCGTCACACACTAAAGCAGAACCGCAAACCTTCAGTCCAGCGGTGCGGCCGGCAGGAGCTCCATGTACCACACGCATGCTCCACCAGCATCTCCAAGACAATTCCTGGCTGAATTTAGCACGTGAGCTTATCTTTAACAGGGCAGAGCTTCTGCAGAGCTCAGATCTCTCTGGGAGACAGGCTTTGAACAGCCGCAGCTTCGCAGGAGCGAATGGATCCGCGCAGGAGCTGCTCTATCAGGATGCGACAGCCGAGATCCCAGCCCAGTCAACTCCAAGGGGTGCCACTGAACACAGATCTGTGGAGCCAGGGGCACCGGGCTGGGCTCTGCTCTGGGATGATGAATGCAAACCTGCCGGGCTCCCCAGGAGAGCCACTAATGCATTTTGCAACCAAGCCATCACGTCACACTGGAAAGGTTTATTTTGAGTGCAGGGTAATGATTTGGAGCTGGCAGGTTACCTCTGGAAGCTCTCCCTGCTCCACTGGCTGCTGGAAGTGAGCAGGCCCGAGCAGTGCTGCTGAGTGAGAAGTCATAATCACACCCGTGGTCCTCTCCAAGCTCATTAGCCAGGAAAGCAAATGCCCACCCTCTCCCCACACAAAGTTTATTTCCTCAGGAGAACCATTTCCTTTCAACACAGACACTTGCAACACAGTCCTAGAAAAGCATGGAATTGCAAGGATGGCTTCACCATAATCCAACAGCACTCCCTCCAAACACTCTGTGACACTGGCTCTTCCGGAGAAGGGAGCCTGCAGGCAGCATAGTGACAGAATCGCAGAATCAATTAGGTCGGAAAAGGTCTGAGATCACCGAGTCCAACCCATGACCGATCACCCAGTCCTTCCTTAAAGGCCTCGAGACGGCGACTCCGCCACCTCCCGGGACAGCCCTTTCACATGTGTAACCAGCACAGCCCGGACTGCTGCGGCACCTCCGCGAACTCTTCAGAGCCCTCGCGCGGGGCCACAGAAGATGCCCGTGGCTGACACGCCACGGCCACGCCCGATCCCCGCCCGCCCCGGCGCTCACCAGGCCTGGTGGAAGGTGTGCCCGCACGGCACGGCCGCCACGTCCCGCTCGTTGTCGAAGAAGTCGGAGCAGATGGTGCAGTGGGCGCGGATGGGCATGGCGGGGCCAGGGAGCCGGGACGGAGGCTAAAGGGTGGTTCCGGAGGGTCGCGGCCCCGGAGCCACAACAGCCGCACGGCCCTGCGCGGTTTAAACGCGACCGCCAGAGCGCCGCTTCCGGCCCGCCCCGGAAGTGACCTCAGGAGATCCCGCGTCGGGGCATTGGACGGGGCGGGGCCGAGTGGGCGTGGTCTCTGAGGCGGTGCCTAAAGGGGCGTGGCCTGGGTGACTGGGCGGGGCTCGCCCCCGGGCCTTCTCCCGGCCGTGCCGTGCCCCTCAGAGCCCAGCGATGGCGCCCGGGATCCTTCCCGGGATCCTGCCCGGCGGCTACCGCTCCCGGGGTCCCGCTGCCCTTGCAGCGGTGCCGCTTCCAGCCCGCCGCGTCTCGCTCAGCCCCGTGCTGCCGGCACGCGTGGCAGACCCCCGGCCCCACAGAGAGACTGGGCAGGCGGCGCTGGTGCTGTCTCAGTTTGTCCTCAGCGGGGTCTTTATTTGCCAGAGATACAGCGGCGGGGCGCGGGGCGGCGGCGGCAGCCGCGGGCAGAGCCGGCCCTGCAGGCATGCAGCTGCGAGGGGGGAAGCGGGGACCGGGGAGGGAGCGCGGGGGGGGGCACTGGGGGTCCTCCAGGCACAACGCGTGGGGGGCCGTGTGGCTGCTCCCGGGCGGGGGTCCCCGTGTCCCACCCCCCGGGGTCCCGGGATGGAGGGGGGTCTCCGGGACGGCCCCCGCTCCGTCCCGCGCGGCCCCGCCTGCGGTCCCGGACATACACGCGTGTTCCGGCGGGGCCCCGCGACGCCCCCCCCAGCGCTGCGGGGTATGCGGCCGAGGGGGGCTGCCCCGCGTCTCTGGGCATCCCCGGGGGAGGGGACGGCGGCGGGGGACAGACTGAGAGAGCTGGGAGGACGTGGGGGAACGGGCGCCATGCAGGGCTCTGCCCCGCGGCCGGCTCTCCGGCGGGGCACGTAGAAAAGGGGGCGCAGGCGGGGGTGGGGGGCCATGCCGGGGCTATGTACAGGGGGCGCGGGGGCCGCTCAGCCGCTCTGCTCGCTGGGGGGCTCGGCGGCGGCCCCGACCTCGTTACACGTGGTGGCGGGCGGTGTGCCGGCGGCCGGGGGCTGCGCGGCGGCGGGCGGTGTGCCGGGGGCTGCGGCCTCCGGGGCGGTGGCGGCGGGGGCTGCGGGCTCCGGGGCCGTGGCGGTGTCGGTGGCGGGCTCCGTGGCCGCGGGCTCCGTGGCCGCAGCGGCGGGAGTCGCCGCCGCGGCCGGAGTCGCCGCCGGGGCCGTGGTCGTTGCCGGGGCCGTAGTCGTTGCTGGGGCTGGAGTTGCTGCTGGGGTCGCTGCCGGGGCCGGGGTCGCTGCCGGGGCCGGGGGCGCCGCCGGGGCCGGGGCTGCCGCCGTGTCCGTCTGCTCGGGCGCCCGCAGGCGTTTCATGAGCGTGGTCACTCGCACGGCTTTCTGCGGGGAAGAGACGGGGGG